CGGTGGTGCATAATGCAACAACATTTCTACCCAGTTCGGTAAGTTTTTTCTAAATTTTCGAATTCAGGGCAGTTTTGGAAGAATTGCTACATAGAAAGACAGAAACTGTGAATTTCATAATAGCTTTAGAACTGCGCATCACTTATTAAATTTTTTTGTTTTTGAAGTAAAAACTGGGTTTATATAGGGGAGGAATCTGGGCATAGCCAGGGCAGAAGGTGTATAGATGACCTCAAGGGACTGTAAACTGCTCCTACCCCGGTGTTATTTTTGACTTCGGCGCATTAATTTTTAAGAGTGCGCCGGGTACAATAATAATTTTTTATTGTTCTGCGGTCTAGCATATCACATACGCGTGACCTCATAAATCAAAAAATTCTGTACTGTGCAAATTTGGCATATGAAACAGACAAAAGTTTAATGATTATTCTTCCCGGGACAACAAATCGGTAAAGAGCACCGTTATGCAGTAATTACTAAGTTAAGGGATTCCGTGCTTTAGCGTTTTGATAAATTTTGCCGAATTAACGTCAAGCCTCTTTAATGAAAAGCATTTGGAAGTAGTCCCCAGTGGTAGCAAATGCCAACAGCAGCCATTCGCTGGAAATGCCCTCGGTGGGCTTCCTTCTTAAAGGGTTTGCGAAGATAGGGGATTTGGGCTGGGGGATTTTGGCTGTAAAAAGACGCACTTTCGTCAGGGACAAGATTTCGTTGCGGGGTAATTTTGCATGAGCTCTCCTGAAAAAATAGACCAACAAGATTGTACGCAGGCTATGTGTAGGTGTTATTTAATGGTGCAAATTGCCTTTATCTTACAGATGTAGCGGGGTGATATTTTTCAATGCAGTCTCTGTGTTTCATCCCTTAGCTGTAAACACAGACCGGACTGCGCATGCGGGTAGGAGTGGGAATCGTCAGTACAGCCTTCTACCCGCCATGTATTGAAAGGACATGTAACTAATTTGCTAGAAGGATGAGTGAAGGGAAAAGATAAAGAGAGTAAGAAGGATAGAAACCATTTAATACCATAAAAGAAGTAGGATTCTTGCATTAAGATGCCATCCGTAATATGTGAATTGCTCCTTTTCTCCCTTGTTTTTTTTTTTTCGACTTTACATCATGCGCCTATTTACATGTAATAGAAGACACGGTTTTTCGTAGAAATTTGAGACTTTCCGGAAACAAATTTAGAAAGTAACAGACATGGGAATATTGCCGGGCTGCAGATGGTGTAGAAGGAGTTGAGGCAATTTGCGAAGATACCAGAATCGCGCGAGCTTATTATTTTCTTTCCGAACAATTTTTTTTGGGATTTGGAACATTTCAGGTGCAAAATATCCATATTCAGCCCAACGTTGCAACCTCTGTGAATGGCCAACATGCGCAGCAAGTATGCCTTGTTCAGGCACTGAATCCCTCAACGATTGCAACGCCCTCCGTAACGAATGGGTTATCAGGAGGCCAACAACAAGGCACCACTGTCGTCACTGGTAGGAATTTACCACATATTATGAATTAATAAGCGATAAATTTATAAACTTTGGATTTCCACTTTG